TTGATGTATGGATTGTTATAAGAGGTGTCAGAGCCTCCAATAAAATGATCTTTTAATAATATTAATAAGACAGCAGCAACTCCCCGGGAGAAAGAGAGGGCTTTCTTCTCTCATAAAGCATTACAGTCTCAGACACCAATAGAGGTACCTGTGAGTCAGTGTTGATTGACTTGATGACAGCGAGTTCAGTTTGGGTTCATCGTAACAACACAGGAATTAAAGTATAGATGAAAATAAGGAAGGGAACCACTTCTGAGCTATAGTTAGTCCACAAAAGTTTCAGTCGGGCCATCTAACTGAGAAACAACAAAACCACATGGAAGAAGCACACCAGCCTGTAAGATGACAAGGCGTCGAAGGGATCAGGTATCAGGCATCAAAGACCAAAAAAAAAAAAAAATCATAGCATTGTGAATGAGAGGGAGTGCAGAGTGGGGACCCAGGGCCCATCCAGGGGAAATTGGACATCCCCTTGCAGAAGGGCTGCGGGGAGGAGATGAGCCAATCAGAGTACAGTGTAGCAATGATGAAATACACAATTTTCCTCTGGTTCTTAAATGTTTCCTCCCCCCCACTATCATGATCCCAGTTCTACCTTACATATCCGGCTGGACAGGAGGATGTACACTGGCACAGATAGGAACAGGAAATACAGGGAATCCAGGACAGATGAACCCCTCAGGACCAGTGGAGAGAGTGGCAATATCAGGAGGGTAGAGGGAAGGTGGAGGGAAGGTGAGGGAGAAAGGGGGAACAGATGACAAGGTCTACATATAACCTCTTCCCTGGGGGATGGACAGCAGAGAAGTGGGTGAGGGAGACGTTGAATGGTGTAAGATATGATAAAATAATAATAATTTATACATTATCAAGGGTTCATGGGGAATGGGGAGCAGGGAGGGAGGGAGGGAGAAAAAATGAGGAGCTGACACCAAGGGCTCAAGTGGAAAGCAGGTGTTATGAGAATGATGATGGCAACATATGTACTAATGTGCTGGACACAAATGATGTATATACGGATTGTGAAGAGTTGTATGAGCCTCTAATAAAATGATTATTAAAAAAAGTATTGTACATGTTCAGTGATGGGATTCAAATAATTTAACAGTTTGCTGTCCTAATGACCATTTAAGTATTAAAAATATACTGGGGGAAAAATGTTTCACAGTCATAGTTTGGATGGGCTCATCTGACATCTAACCATATATGGATCCTAAGAATTAAATGGTTTGCTTCATATATATTAGAAACAATGCAGGATAGCAGTAGGTGTAAGACATGAAAAAAATAATTTGTAAATTATCAAGGATTCATGAGAAAGAGAGGGTGAGAGAGGAAGGGGGAAAATGAGGACTTGATACCAAGGGCTCAAGTCAAAAGAAAATGTTTTGAAAATGATGATGGCAACATATGTACAAATGTGCTTGACGCAATGGATGTATATATGGATTGTAATAAGAGCTGTAAGAGTCCCCAGTAAAATGATTTAAGAAATAAAAAAGGAAACAATGGAACATCTTGCCAATGGGCTTTTTCTAGTATTCAAACATGTAACAGTGTTCTAAATGGCCCAAGTTAAGCCAGGATATACAGGAAAAGGCCCTAGAGATTATGATTTAATTTCATCACTGCAGTCATTTAACAAACCCATTTCTTCCTCTGTATATTGACACAGATGCATTTAAAAGGCATATGTTCATAATGGAAATTCATATATGGATAATCCTGGGTCCATGACCCTCCCAGAAATTGGTTTCAAAATAATGTACATTCACCTGAGCAGGAATTCAAAAGACTTACCAACCTGGTTAAAAGTCTATTGACCAAAGTTTCCTTCAGCCCTCCCATGAAGAAGCCATAGGAGGGTGCATTGAAATATACACGTTTCATAACTTGGTGACAATGGCTTCACCCCTGTAACCTGTTTTCTATCTATGCAAATATATGAGTAATACCTACATATTTCATAGGGAAGTGATAAACCATTGGAACTCCTGGACGTTGGCCAACAGTTTACTTTATAAAAGTTGTTTCCATTATTCAAGAGAACAAAAGCGATTTAAAGAGCTGTGTTATATATGCATTTGATAATTGAGGTTCCTAGAAACAAAGACTGAACTGCCTCTGGTCAAACCTGGACCCTCTGCGTGATGACATGATAGGCCACATTTGAAATACAGTGCCAACTTGAGCCTAACAAAAGCAGAAATGGTACTCAGGCTCGAGTCTACCAAAGAAATAAGGCTAAAATGATATTTGAAGTGACATAAACCTTTAGGGAGAAAAGGGTTTTAAAAAGTACTAAGTGACCCTTTTAGGGCCTACACACTTACCAGACCTTAAAAGTGTAGGCGACGAGAAGACAACCACATCGGGTGAGCTGGCCATTTCAAATGGTTGATTCTAATCACAAGTGTTGCAGGCTAAACTACGGCAATTTTCAAAACTGTTTAGTGAAGGTTAGAAGCAATCAGCGTTAGATTAATTGAAAGCAGTATGAGCAGTTATTAACATGATGCAATGCATAACAAAGACAATAATTATGGTTCATTATCATTTCATTTTCTCTTTTAAGGCTTGCAAATTTGATTCTCTAAATTTGATAAATTACATTTGCTAACATGCATGAGAGAGGAAATACATACTATTCACTTTAGCCTTACATAAAAGTAAAATTCTCTATTGTTCAGTCAAGTGATTATGCTACTATGTAACAATGCTCAGAATTCTGCAGTAGAATCTACACCAAAAACAGCTTAGTACATTTTTCAAATGAAACTGTTTATATTTTTTCCTAAAAGTAACGAGCAGAATCACATTGTTCTTAGTGATATATGTAGCAATTGATTCACTCAATAGGCCGTTTTAAGTCTATACTTCAGTTATAATTCTACACTCAGTTATCAGGAGAATCTAAAACTTCAAGCACAACTATAAATTTGGAGAAATTATTTCAATTGGTAGGTCTTCTACTAATAGATATAAACTTAATAAAACTTCCAACACTGGTATTACGAGCTTTTATGCACTGCAGTTAAGTGACTGAATTCAATGATTTCAATACTTTGACATTTTTTTCTAAATTCTGAAAAAATTCAAAGCTCACTGCTATAACATATTTCATAAGAAACAAAAGCTGTACTTATAAAAAAGCTGCCTGGTGCTGTTGTCCAGTGTTGGATAGCTATCCACAAGGTCCATGGTTCAAACCAACTGTCCACAGAGGAAATTGGGGCTGTCTGATTCTGTGAAGACTTACAAGCTCAGACACCACATCCAGGGACAGCATTAACGAGTCAGAATGGGCCCGATGGCAGAGGACTGGATATGTGATTATTAAAGGAAAAGAGGCTTTGCTTATCAAAGGGGAAAACGTGTGTCAAGGACAGAAAACGCACAGTTCTCTATTAGAAAACTGATTACTTTCTTGTCTAGATACATTCAATCTGGTAACACATTTTGTAGTACACACAGCCACAAATTTCTAGACATATGTGTGGAATTTTAGAAGAGTGCATAACAAAAGTACAAGTGACAACTCCAAGTAATTGAATTAACTCAAATATTCTCAGGGCTACTTTACAGAGGTTTTTCCCTCTCTTATTTAGCAGGTGATTTAACCCAAGTAAAGACATGCAATTTGGGGGAAGTTTAAAAACAATGAAACTGGCAATAATGATTGGCTGAAATTCTCCTGTATGATTTATGAAATAATATACTGTCACCAATTTTTAAGGGCAGCATGCACAACAGATAACTACAACCTTAATACATTGATAACCGGTAAATATAAAGGGAGCAATTAACTGAAAGTAAAAAACGCCAGACCAAATGTAAAATTAATGTTCCTAGAATAATTTTCTTGTGGTGCTCCTGAATTAACAATAGTCTTTTAGAGATCCTTAAGACGTGTCATCCAAACACCTTTCCTTTTTATAAGTGCATTTTGATCAAATTTATTTCCAGTTAAGAATAGGGAAATTTCAATCTCAGCTCTTGGATCAGTACCCAACCCCAAGTGCTAACTTCAAGTCATGACTTTGCAATTTGAAAAAGTTATTTCGGGACACTTGAACCGAGTAACCGCATTGGGACATAGGCTTTCAGGCATGGGGCTAGGGAGCTGCAACTCAAAACGACATGCCCTGGGATCGCGTGCCCAAAAAAGGTGCCAGCTTCCTTCAGAGCCCTAAAGTTCGCTCATGTGGTCCTCTTCAAAGTTCTAGACCCTTCGATTTCTGCTAAGGCTAAGAATTCCTGGGGAACGTAAAAGAAAGTTGCGAAATAAGCAATGACCAGCTAGCAGGTTTCTAGGGGCAGAGAAGAATGAAGCGACTGACTTTTGCGGACGGACACACACCACACATTCCCTTTCCAGGGAGGTTGAGGCCGCCCGAGTCTCTAAAGGAAAGATTTCGGGAGGTGCGACTGCTTTTTGAGGGGCACACAAGCGGCGTGCGTTGAGACAAGCCCCTAGTTCTACAGGTGGGGGTAGAGTCAATGGAACAATCACCCGGCCGCCGCCAGCTTTCTAAGGGACCCAACTTCAAGTCCAGGTTCGCGCTAGCCCAGGGCGCTAGAGGGAGGACCACCCGCGGGGTGGAGGCAGGCCGCACCCTAGTCACTCTAACCTGAACGCTTGGCCCGAGCTCTCCGCTCCAGGACCCTCCAGCTCATTTCAGCCATGAGCCCCGCGGCCCCCGCCATCTCGCCCCGGCGGATACTTTGTAGCCAGCCGAGCCGGGCCGCCAGTCAGCAAAGGCGGCCACGCCCCGCCCCCCGCGCGACAGCGTCGAGAGGCGGGCCAGCCGGAAGTGAGCGCGAGAACCAGCTTGAAGTTTTGCTACACGGCCTCCCAAACGTCAGAAGAGCTGCCCACGGGAAGGCGGCGAAAAAAGCCCAAAGCAGCCCGTGGCGCGTCGGGGTTGCTCGTTTTCGCTCTCGGCCAGTGGCGCGGCGCTTTACGGCTGCCGTCAAGCACGCTCTGGCCGGAGGGCGGGGGCCGAGGCGCTGCCATGGCGGCGGCGGACCGGCTCCGGGGCTCCTGGGCGGTGCCGGCGAAGCTGCTTGCGGGGCTCGCGCTGCTCGTGGTCGGGCCGGCCCCCGCGCGGGCGCTGCACAACGTCACGGCCGAGCTCTTTGGGGCTGAGGCCTGGGGCACAGTTGCGGCCTTCGGAGACCTCAACTCCGACAAACAGACGGACCTCTTCGTGCTACGTGAAAGTCAGTGCTTCTCCGGCCTTCCCTCTGCCTACCACCCCTGTGTTCCACCCTGGTTCTCCATCCCTCCACCTAGCGACAGGACCTTCTGCATTTCCCAGACCCTTATGTTCTCTCCCTGGCCCCCTCTCCCTACTCTCCAGCATCCTTGACAGCTTGGCCCTGCTCCAACCACAGGGTCCGATCCAGCTACCCCCATAGTTTGACGTACCTCCAGTGTCTTGGCGACGCCTAGTTTTGTTTTGTTTTTACCTGAGAAGCCTGCGGCCTTCACCCACCCACCCTCTTCGCCCCGTGCAATCACTCACCTTACAAATCCCTCTGTAGCTTGCTGTATTCGCTCCAAAAGGCCCGCCCCTTCCTTCCAGTTTGCTGTATTGTCCCAGAGCCCCACTCCCCTTGGGTGAACAGGAAGAGATGCAGCTTGAGTGACTTACAGGATACAGGAGCCTTCTTCCTGCTTAGCTACTTAACTAACCCACACGCCCCAGCTTTCTCTGAAGCTCGTGTCCTTCCAAGGCCCTGAACATTCCACAGCACTTAGAAGGCCTTTTGATGGGCCATTGATAAAACCCCAGTGTCTCCTGGAAGCATCTCCAAACTGCAGTTTCCTCGCTCCCAAGCTGCTTATTAGTCTGTGTGTGCACCAGACCCCACCTCGCTTTTCCCTGTGTCACCTTTGTTACCCTGTAGCCTCCCAAACCCTTACTTTCACTGCCAACCTGTGGTTCTTGAAAGTTCTTTGCTTTAACTGTCATTCCATGCTGTCAGTGGTTCTTACTGTTTGTTGTTGGGTACCCACAAAAGCAGGGGCTGCTTAAGATCAAGGACACAGAGAAAGTAAATTAAGAGTTGACACAGATCCTGACAGACAGGATTCTGGGAGCCCCTTCAGAACTCTAGAGTCTTGCAGGCCTTGGATATTTTCCCTATTTGTATGAGTCAGTGTCAAATTTCATAACATCTGTACACAGACACTTTAATGATGGCCCCTGGTTGGGTTAAACAATTTCATATCTATCCCAGTGAAAGCTCATTGTGCATCAACCTGAGGGATGATTCCATCTGAACAGCACAACAAGCTTGGAGGTTTCAACTTTTCCTATGTCTATGCTTAATCCTGTTCTTGTTACTGGTCAGATACCTACATTGGGAATCCTTTGTGTCTTTGGTAAACAGCCTTAAAGGGGGCTGTATTGTTAGGTTTGGGGACAATAATGGCTCCAATAAAGCTAAAAGACATGTTCACACATGGTTCTTTTAAGTCATCAAATTTGGCTTCAGTTTCTCTGAATCCCACTAAGTTATTCAGTGTTCACGCTGCTTGTTTCTCTGTTGCTTTGAACATTAATCTTGTGATGTGCTGTCTGGAGATCCCATATCATTAGGCCTATAGAACTATCCTTGAGAGAACAAATAAACAGGAGTAGAATAATTTCCTGTGGAGAACAGTACCTCAAAAGCTTGTAATCACTGATTGGATTTCTTAATGGGAACATATTTCTAATGTCAGGTATTCATTTATTTTAGGAAATGATTTAATTGTCTTCTTGGCAGACCAGAATGCTCCCTATTTCAAGCCCAAAGTAAAGGTATCCTTGAAGTAAGTACAAATATAATTGTTTCTGGGAAGTATTACTTGTTAGTGTAATAATGAGTATGCAGTATCTGGTTGGGTTGAATTGTATTTGAAATCAGTCTAACTCAACAGTGATTTTGTGACACAAACCACAAGTTTTTAAGTAGCAAGTAATTTGTTAGGAAAAATAGTGAAAGGACCAAAGTTGAAAGATGATTTAATTAGTAAATAAATTTTGAGTGGATTTTATCTTTTTTCTGTAAAACCGCCCTTCTTCTTGTAATCAGATATGTTTTCTGGAATGTATTGGGAATTATGCATCACCCTAGTTATGCTCATGGTAGGCAGATCATTCACAGGAGGCACATCAGATGAACTTGGCTAGGAGAGAATAGTATGCAGTGACCAAGAGGTCAATGAGTGCTATTCTAATTCTTTTTTTATAATCGTCTGGTAGTCTGTTTTGTTTTGTTTTAATCATTTTATTGGAGGCTTATACTACTCTTATCACAATTCATACATACATCCATTGTGTCAAGCATATTTGTACTTTCTTTTTTTCTTTTTAAAATAATTTTATTGGGGGTTCTTACAACTCTTATCACAATCCATACTTACATTCGTTGTGTCAAGCACATTTGTACATTTGTTGCCATCATCATTCTCAAAACATTTGCTTTGGACTTGAGCCCTTGGTATCAGCTCCTCATTCTCCCCACTTTAGACAGTTTGTTAAGGTAAGTTTTAAAGGACTTTAACTCAAACTTTTAAAAAAAGTTTTTTGAGATCTGAATTTCAGAAATATTTGAATAATAGCTCTTTTCTTTTAATAAAGCTGACATTTTATGAAAAACTCAGTTACCATCAACCATAAAGAGCCAATATAGTTTTGAAACAAGAAGCAAGATTGATTGCTATCAGAGTAAAAGGAGGAAGAGATGAACCAGCTTAGGCTAGTGTGGCAGCTTCCAGAAGGTCATGGGACTTGAACTTGACTTAGTTGTTGTTTCAGTTGAGTCAGTTTTAGAGTTAATGAAATTTAGATTGGAGTGCTCAAGGTTGGTGGCATAAACTTAACAATGTATAGATGTAAATACATCATTTTGTAGGAGGGGGCCTGAAGATTTGCCTGTCAGAAGTAGGGAATACACTTTGGAGAGCATTAGGGTAGGAAGGCGAGATAAAAACTGTATGGTGGCCTTCACAGATAATAGAAAGAAGAGTTTGAACTTGATCCTGTTCAGTGGAGGTGAATCATTTCAGGTTCTTGTTCAAAGAAGAGATAGTGAAAACTATATTTTAAATTGATAGTACTTACTTACTGTGTATGATGAATTAGATGAAAACTGTGTGAAAGCGCCTTTTGGAATTATGAATCTTTGGACTCTACAATACTTAACCTCTAATAGATGTTTTAAAAAGAAGAGCCTTGAATTAGAACATGAGAGGAATGTTATAAATGGATAAAAAGTCCCTTGAGAAGTATTCATGGGTACTAGGTGCCAGCATGCATGGGGTAGGGAAGGAACAGAAATTGATAAATATCATGTAAGAACTGGGCAGGGGGGTGGGGGGGAAACCCTAGAAGTGATTATTTTTGGAAGATTAGGAGTTAAGGACATTTATGGGATATAAAAGGCTTGAGTTTTACTTACTTTAAAAAAAACTAAAATTTTATAAACTTTGGTTTTATTTCAAGTGTTTTTCAAAGTAAAAATAACTGTCCTTTACCCTTTCCACCCCCACTCCTCTATTTCACTTTCAAATATATTAACTAATAAAAATTTTAGCTGTTTCTTCTCATAATTTTCCTATTTTCAACTAATATACTATAATTCTGATTTATTGTCTTTAAAATCATCACTTGGTTTTTATAAACATGCATAGGTTTTAAAAAACAATTTAAAAAATTTTTAAACAAGTTTTTTAATTTAAACCTCTGCTATTGAGGCAATTCCAACTCATAGTGGCCCTAGAGGACATACTGAAACTGATAGATTCCAACTATTTATCTTGCAGTTAGTAGCCCGACACATAACTCACTGTGCCACTAGGGCTCCTTACATAAGGATTCAGCCCTTTTATATTTTATTCATTTTTTCTTAAATTTCTGTTGTCAGTCATCTCTGCTTATATTTTGACCATACACGTTCTGTTTACTTCAGAATCTGTACAATTGCAATATATTTATTTTGCCTATTGTATAGTTTTTCCCATGGAAGTAGATGATTGCTTTAAAAAAAAATAGGTTTCCTCTGCATATTTCTGTAATTTCTTTGTAAGTATTCTACTTGTCATCAGTACATGGCAATGTGTTAGGTTTTTTTATTCTTTTTTGTTTAATTCAATTTATTGGGGCTCATACAATTCATCACAATACATAGATCAATTGTGTAAAGCACATCTATACATTTGTTGCCCTCATCATTCCCAAAGTTTTTTAATTCTTTGTTTGATCCCTAGTTTCTTCGATTCTGTGCTAACTGCTATCTTTAGTTGTTTCAGCCTTCAGGAAATTCCCCCCAAAAGGATGTATAGTGGGTGCTTGCATATCCAAAACCTCTTTAGACTCACTATCAATAGTTTGGTTTGCCAATAATCTTCTACTTCCTGCAGTATTGTTGAAAAACCAAATGGTATTCTTCCTCCTATTACTTCAAATATGACTTGTTTTAATTTTGAGAGCTATTAGTCTCTTCTTTATTCCTTTTGTGCTAAAATTTTGCGAAGTGCCCTAGTATGGTTTCTTTTGCGTTCATTTTTCTGAGCCCTTTGAAGCTCAATCCTTGGGATTTTATGACATTCTCTCTTATTGTATTTTTTTGATAAATTTTTTTGTTCCCATGAATTCCTATCAGTTAGTTATTAGATTGCCTAACTTCATCCTTAATCACTTTTATCTTATCTGAGTTTGTTTTGTGTCTTGGCTTGGTTTTGTCATTTTGTTTTATTTTTCTTTTCTAGAGTTTTTTATTAACTTTTATCTTCCATGCTTTCTATTGACTTTTTAATTTTAACTGTCATATTTTTACTTTGCAAGAACTTTTCTCTGTGTACTTATTCTTTTCTAAAATACTATTCTTTTGTATTTTCTACTCTTATGCCCTTAGGGATCCCTGGTGGATGAGTGACTTACACATTGTACTGCTAATTACAAGAACAGTAGTTCTAAATCACCATATGTTTCTTGGGAGAAAGATGAGACTTTCTACTCCTGTAGAGTTAAAGGAGCCTTGGTGGTATAGTGGTTACACATTGGGCTGTGATCCACATGGTCTCCACAGGAGAAAGACTGGACTTTCTACTCCTGTAAACAGTTACAGCCTTGGAAACCCATGGTAGGCGCAGGCCACTACGAGTCAATATTGACTCGATGGCACTGAGTTTTTGGTTTTGTTTTTTTGCACGGTGGTTTTTTTTTTAAGTCTCAGAAATCCGACCCCCACCCCCCTCCCCCACCGGCCTCGCCCTGGCGCCCCGGGCCCGCCGCCCGGACGCGAGAAGTGGGTAGACCAGCACCCGCCGAGAAGGGCTCTTGTCCTCCCGGTCGCCGCTAGGGGCACCACCGGCAGTCAAGCATGCAACCTAAGCGCGACAAAGACAATTAGATGCTGCTAAGTTGGATGCGATGGATTTGCTTCCAACAGAGGGCACCCCTGGGGCTGCCGCCCTGGTGGAGGTGGTGGTGGTTCTGCTGCTGCACGATTGCACTGACTAAAGCGTGTTTCAAGGCACTCCTGAAACTTGACCAGGTGGCCCTGGTACTGTTTTTGGTTTTGTTTTTTTGCACGGTGGGTTTTTTTTTTAAGTCTCAGAAATCCACAGGGGTAATTCTACCATGTCCTATAGGGTTACCAATGGCAGTGAGATTTGGTTTGGTTTCGTTTATGTCCTGAGGGCATTATGATTAGCAAATTTAGTTCCTAATGAAAGGATATTGGTTTGAACACACCAGCCAATCCCTGAATGAAAGATGGCTTGCATGTCTTGCAGTGCTTGCAGATGCTTCCATAAAGATTTACAGCTTTGGATCACCTGTGAGTCCGTTCTCTGCCTTGTAGAGATGCTGCTATGAGTTACAATGGAATGACTCAAAAGCAACATTTCTGCAAAGTTTTGAAGTCTTCTGTTTTCTCCATTATCTCTTAATTCCTCCAGCTTCCAGCTGTTTGTTTTGACTTTGCTTTAATATTCATAATTTTCTTTAAAGATCAAATGTTTATTCCTATTTATGAGTAAAGCACTGCAAAGCTTTATGCAAGAAAGCACGATGACACCTGTCTACTGTCTCTTATCCTTTAGGTATATTCCTAGTTGGCTAACATGCTAGGAATAAACTATTCTTTGTGGACTGGTGGCTTAATGGGTTATACATTGGTCTCGTAACCACAGGGTCAGCAGTTCAAAGCCACTAGCCAGAAGATAGATGAGGTTTTCTATTCCTATTGAACAGAAACCCACAGAGACAGTTCCACATTGTCTTGTAGGGTCACTATTAGTTGGAATTGACATGGTAGTGAGTTTGGTGTCTTTGGTGTTTAGTTTAAATTCTCATCCTTAGCTTCTGCTATACTTAGAATAAACTTAGTTTCTGCCTAGCTGAGCCAGAAGAAGGGACCATACTTCAGAATCTAGGCTTTAAAATAAACCCATTTCAGATCTGTTCCTCACTCTTGCCTTCCAATATTTCTGATAACTCCAAAATTGAGGCCTCTCAAGAGTTCTTCAAGGAAAACCACTCCCTTTTGACCCTTTTCCACTGGGAACTTTAACTGCTAATTAAAAGGTAGGGGTCTGAGTCCAGCACTTGAAACCTATGGAACACAATTCTGCTCTAACACACATGACATCGCTATGAGTTGGAATTAACTTGAAAGTAACTGGTTACCATGTATGTGTACTGTAGCTCATCATTTTTAAAGATGATATTTTCCCTGTAAAAGTTCAAATGTTGTAATCCTCTGAAGAAACTGATGTTACCAAAAATATTTTAGTTGCAAATATATGTGTGTGTGTGTGTGTGT